CTCGAAGGATTTGATAAAGGAAGACCTTGATGTGATCGGGGCTTAGGTGCTGTGGGCTGACGATGATCTTGTGAAGATCGCTTTGGAGTAGCTCCGTGATCACATATCTATGTCGATACTGATTAAGGAATTTATTGATTATATGCTTGGCCAAGCCACGTTTATATCGCCATTAAATCGTCATTCGCTCCGTTTACAACGTTGTAATTAGATCGTGCCGGTTTACATCGCTAGTGCAATTTAATTGCTTCGTTTTCGTCGTCAAAGTTCTACCATCCTTGTTAGAAACGCCATATTAAATGCCATAGAATACGTCCTTTAACGTGAATATCACTTTAGAGATTTTAAGATGGTGTTTTCTCATTTCGAATGGTTGTTTCTTATTTGTAAATCGATAGTTAAAATGCATATTTACGTTATTACGTTATTACGTTGGAAACAAATTTTTTAAGACTTCTCTTTTTTTTTTTTTCCTTTTTCTTACGTTGAAAAAGTAGTAATAAAAAAGCAAAAAAGAAAAAAGAAATTAAAAAAAGAAAAAAAAAAAAAAAAAAAAAAGAAAGAAGAAAATGAAATGAGTAAATCAAAATTGTCAGATGTTTTAGGACCTAAATAACGTGGGAAAAAAAAGGAAACAATAAAGTAACGTAATCCATAATGAAAATATTAAAATACAATATATAATATACTCACACACACACCAGATTAATACCGAAGATAAAAGAGGAAGCAAAACAGACATACAGACATACAGACAGACAGCAGACAGACAGACAGACAGACAGACAGACAGACAGACAGACAGACAGACAGACAGACAGCCAGATAGAAAGAGTGAGTGAAAAAAATAAAGAGGCAAAGTATATCGTCTCGTAACGAAAGTGGACAGTTGCAATAAAGGGGAAGTTGGTAATTTACGGATCTAAGCGTCCCCAGCTTGAAAGAAGAGAACCACAACTTCTTGACTGAATGAAAAAGAGAAAGAGAAGGGAGAGAGAGAAACGAGGCCGCAATGGAAACGCCGGTGGAACAGAGAAGGGGATAGTCGCTTGCCTCGAAGGGGTAGCGTGTGTACTAGCTAGCTATAAATAAAGAAAAGTTAGCATGCTATCGAGCTTACTGTAATTCAAATCTCTCATTCTCTCTCTCTCTCTCTTCTCTCCTCTCTCTCTCGCTCTCTCTTATTTTACAATAGAAATTATTAAAATTTGATCATATAAATTAGTAGAAAAAAATTTTTCACAAAAAAAATTTTGTTGAATAATTTTTTTCTTCTCTAAATTATTTTTAAAAATATTTATAACAAATATGTACACATACTTAGAAAAATTGTATATAATTCAAATAATATATATATATATATATATATATATATATATATATACACGAAACAAATTGTAGCTTGTTGGGTCACTCTGTAATTGAATGATCAATTAAAGTAAGTAGAAAATTTGTCCGAAAGTACTCGACGTTATATCGAGATATTATTTCGTAAAAAATTTCATATATACATGTATATGTATGTGTATGTATATATATGTGTATATATGTATATATATATATATATATATATATATATATATATATATATGAAATCGATAATAAAGAGAGACATCGTTTAAGGGGAAAAACGTGAACTCATTAACGAACCAGTTTCGTACGTGTAAAGTTTGGGTTTCGATTTGAAATGAGAATGTGAAATAATGTACACACACACACACAGACGCATGCACAATCCTACGTTATTAAACGTTATCTTTGGCCATTTTCTGATAACTATTTAAAACTCGGTTATACCGTTTTAACGGGATGCCCTAATAAATATATATATATATATATATATATATATATATATATATATATATATATATTAATATTTAACTCTTTGTCAAATGTCAGTTACTCGTCGTGTGATCATCGCGGCTATTTTGTTATTAGAGGTTTATTTTAATCAGGGCCAATACGCGACTCGGTTATTCATATCGCGTTACAATATTTTCCATGATAAATAATATTCATGAAGGAATATTTAATTAGTCACATTTTCGTGATCTCGTTGATAGAGTCAATAAATAATTAACGGATAATACATTCGAACATATCACATTTACATATATATATATATATATATATATATATATATATATTTATTAACACGTAGATATATATATATATATATATATATATATATATATATATATATATATATCTACGTGTTAATAAATAAATGAATACCGTAGAAAATGAAAATGTATTTATAAATAATTTCGTTATAGAGATATTAGATAAAATTGTTATCTTCTAATATCTTCGATGGAAGTAGTTAACAAGGACAAAGAAAGTGAAGTGTGACCATACGTGACCACTTTTCTCTTCTCTTTCTTTTCTTTTCTTTTTTCTTTTTTTTTTTTTTCTTTCACTTTTTTCCTTTCACTGTCAAACATCATCGTCATTATCCTCATAGCCGTCATAATCATAGTCATAGTCATAATCATTGTCGTTGTCATAGTCGTCGTCGTCGTCGTAGTGAACGTCGTCTGAGACTCACAGAAGAATAGAAGAAAAGAGCGAACGTTCGAGGAAAATGAAATAGTATAATGGCGGAATGAGGTCGACTGGTAGGTTGGAATGCAGGTAGAGGCTGCCTGCGAACCTGGCGTGGTATGCAAGTCGACTGGTCCGGCTGGCTTCGACCTGAAACGCCTAAACACCAAGCCAATATCGTCGTTCCTCTTTTAACCCTCCTTTTATATATATATATCTGTCTCTTTTTCTCTCTCTCTCTCTCTCTGTCTCTCTCTCTCTCTCTCTCTCTCTCTCTCTCTCTCTCTCTCTCTCTCTCTCTCTCTCTCGTATATTCTATATCCTATCTTTTGCAAATACATCTCATGGTTATCATGATAAATACATGCACAAGGTAATGAAACGTATTAAATCATAGAATAAAAAAATCTATCTTACAAAGTATCGTCTTATGATTGATCTAGTCAATTTCTACTTTGAGAGATATGCATATATATATATATAAATAAAATATATATATGATAGATACATAGATATAGATAGTAAATGAACATATGATATCATGCAATGAGAATAGTTTGTCAGTAACAGGTTCTGATGGCAATCAAGAAGACCTGTTTCTAGTCTATATAGTTAATAGATCGTATTTGGATAAATTTGTTAAAGTTATAATAGAAGTAGAGAAATGAGAATCGGGGCTGTGCCGATGGTAATAGCGATGGCAATGGCGATGGCGATGGCGATGGTGGTGATAGTGTTGGTGGTGGTGGTAATGGTAGTCGTGCTGGTACAGGTGATGGTGATGGTAATATTATAAAAGGGGGATAAAGAGATTGACTTCAAAATTTAAATTCGACGATCATTGGAAACTTTCATGGATAGTAAACAAGCAAGCAAAAGAGTTGGAGTTTGTTCTGATTACGAGGATACCTTTCGCGGTCTATAGGGATTTCAAAGTAAGTACCAGCACAAGTATGCTGGGCTTTAATAAACTGACTATTTCAATAGCACACTGACGAGAATTATATATTAACTTCGATAAAGGTATTAATAATGTTTAAACATTTAATTACATTAATCGTATTATTAGAGAGAAAGAGAGAGAGAGAGAGAGAGAGGGGGGGGGGGGAAAGAGAAAAAAAGACCGAATGGAAATTTATCTTTAAAGACATTTTAACATCGAGGAATCATTTTATCAGATGCCATGGAATTTCTTAAACACACTTTTTCTAATCGGACATATATCTAATACTCTAATTGTTATTTCTTTATCAAAATCATACAAAGTGATCGAACAGATCGGTAATAAAAACACAGTGGGGATACGTCGAACAGACGGTAATTACATAATTAGAAATTAATGCATTTCTAATTTTTCAAATCGACGAAGTTCTAAGAAGGAATAAAGAAAAGAAAAGAAATGAAAAAAAAAAAGAAAAAAACATTCTCTGCAATTAACACAAGAAATTTCATATTAATATCGAAATCGCCGTTTATTGAACCTGAATAAATTGTGAACGACGAGAAAGAAGAAAAAGAAGAAAAAAGAAAGTTGATTAAAAGAGATCATCATCGACAAGTCTTCTGTGAGATTTGAAAAAAAAACAAAAAAAAACAAAAAAAAAACAAAAAGAACATCAAGATGCGAAGGTGGAAAATATTTATATATAAAAGGAAATAGAAAAAAAAGAAAAAAAAAAAAAAAAAGAAAAAAAGTAAAAAAAAAAAAAAAAAAAAGGAGTAAGCGAATCTTTTCAACGGAATAACAAAAATGGTTCAGACAAAAATAATAAATTTCAGTTCAGTGAAATTTATTATTTGAAGTCTGGGTGGTTCAAACGGACACTGAATACTCTGCTGGAGAGCCCGATTTGAGGATCGATGCGTGCCTACCTCTACCTATACCTCCTGGTAGGCACGTCGACCGGTTCCTGGACAAAGCGAACTTGCCCCCAGCAGCCACCACCAGCGGCAACAGCAACAGCAGCAACAACAGCAGCAACAGCGGCAGCAGCAGCGGCAGCAATAGCAACGATGCAATGGCAGCCGCAACGAAAGAGTCGCAGCCGCATCGCATCGCCGGAAGCCGCATTTTGCCGGCCGCAACGCCAACGTCTTCTCGCGGAGAGCTCCGTGAGCTTGGAAATCGAGTATCCTGCACAGTTCCTTTCCCCTCATCCCTCTACCACCTCCTGCCACCCTGCTCCTCCCTCCCTCCCCCTTTTCCTCCTCATTCCCCTTTCTCAACTCCTCTTCTCATACCGGTCCAAAGAGGAAGAGAAGAGAACCTGGAAAGACTGTCGAGTTTCCATTGTTCGGCCTTCGGATCAGCAGAGAATCGTCAGAAAAGACAATATTTTATTTCTTTTTCTTTTTCTTTTTCTTTTCTTTTCTTATTTTATTTTATTTTATTTTTTTTTCTTTTTCCTTTCTTTTTTTTTTTTTTTTTTTTCTTTTTTTTACTACGTCATAATCGATGCGGATCGCCGATAAATCCAAAATACATAGGGAGTATGTACATTTTTAAGAGATTCATACAAGTATTACTGTATAATTTTTTCTATTATAATATATATATATATAT